ACCAGGGGGGAGAACTACGTGCCGCTCTTCGGGCACCGCAACAGGGACATGAAGGCCGAGCAAGGGCTCGTTTGGGATGTCTGGTGAGAGGAACAACGTGCATTTGTGATAGACAGATAGATATAAAAATATGTGGATATATACACATATATATACATACATGCATACACACACACACACACACACACACACCACACACACACACACACACACACACACACACATACACACACACACACACACATACACACACACACACACACACACACACAACACACACACACACACACACACAACACACACACACACACACACACATGTATATAATTATTGACTGATTGATTGATCGATTGACTGACAGACAAACACACAGACAGTCACACAGACAGATAGACAGAACGAAAATATTGGAAAGACAGATAGTTGGATACATAGGTAGGGAAGCCAGCATCAAGTAAAAGAGAAGAAAACCAAACAGAAATAAAAGAAAAATTAACTGACATAGAGAGAGAGAGAGAGAGAGAGGAAGAAGAGAGAGAGAGAGAGAGAGAGAGAGAGAGAGAGAGAGAGAGAGAGAGAGAGAGAGAGAGCGAGAGCGAGAGAGAGAGAGAGAGAGAGAGAGAGAGAGAGAGAGAGAGAGAGAGAGAGAGAGAGAGAGAGAGAGAGAGAGAGAGAGAGAGAGACAGACAGACAGAGAGAGAGAGAGAGAGAAAGAAGTAAATGGAAAGCGAGAAAGGTTCCATTAGCGGAAAGGGAAACGAAGAGGAGTGGCATCGCGCCCACACATCAGATCGAAAACCTTGTGAGAGCGCATTAAAGAGGATGAAATCTTATCGCGGAAAGGTTTATTGAATCCCAGATCAAGAGTTACCTCGCAATTTATATTTTCCAATTTATTCCTTTCCGGATATTCCCTACCACAAAATATAAAAGATTCAATTCTCCTTTCTATTAGAATCTAAAACCTTATTTATCGCAGCGGCGGGCTTCTATTGTCCCACCCGGATCGCATTCAGAGCGCTCGGATCCTGGAGTCTATTGCATATACTCGAGTCTCCGTTTTCTTTACGCGAGCGGTAACTAAGGTATATATTTTTGTTCCCTGTGTACTTGTGCATCGTCGCGCGAAGTAATGAGATGGCGTATAGGTATATTGAAAAAGGATCTTCGTCGGATATGGAGGTATATGTGCGTGTTTTATTGTCGTTATCTCTTTTTTATCTCTTTATCTTAGCGTTTTTTTATCTCTTTTTTTATCTTTTTATCTTAGCGTTTTCTTGGGTTTGTGGGTTTCAATTTTTCTTTCGCTACCCCGTCCTCTGACATCCTCCTTTTCCTTCTCATTTTCTCTCTTTTTCCTTTTCTCCTTCATGTTTTCCCCTCCCTTTTATTTCCTTTCTTCTTTCCTTTCCTTCTTTTCGATTCTCTTTTCCCCTGTTTTTTTTCTCCTTTCTACTCTTTCTTTCAGGTTTATTTCGCTTTATCCTTCTTCCTATCCTTAAAGTTCTTCCTCCTCCCCTTTCAGGTTTTTCACTCATTCTTATTTCCTCCTTTTCCTGTATCTTCCTCGTCTCCCTTTTTTATTCCTCCCTTTACTCTCCACATTCTTTGTCTTTTCTATTTCTCCTTCTCTGTCCTTCTCTTCTTCCTCTCTCTCTCCATTCTATTTTCTTCTCCCCTGCTAAAGCTTTCTTCTTCTCTTCTGCTCTTCCTTGCTTTATTGTTGTTCTTCCCACATTCGGTGGCTTTGTTTCCCCTCCCCTGACCCCTTTACCTTCCCCTCCTCCTCCCTCTCCTCCTTCCCCTGCCTGTTCTCTTCTGTTTCCCCTTTCGTTTTTTTTCTTTTTTTACCGCCTTCCCGCTATCCTTATCTTAGCTCCTTCTCTACCCTTCCCTTCTCCCCTGTACTCTTTGTAGTGTATGTGTTCTTCCTTACATCCGTTTGCATTCTTCCTCTCTCTCTCTCCTTTCCATTTCCTTCTCCCCTCCTCCTCTGCTATCACTCCTCCCTTCCTTACTCCCCTTCCTTCATCCTCCTCCTCCATTTTCCACATTCCCCCCCTCCTCCTCCATCTCTCTATCTCCCCCTTTTGCAAACCCCTATTTCAAAGCATTATTCCAATGGAAGACAAAGGATTTTTTCCCTCTCTCTCTCTCTCTCTTTTTTTTTTTTTTTTTTTTTTTTTTTTTTTTGCGGCCGCCCAATATTTCTGGTTGAATTATTACAGCACGATGGGAAAAAATCAGTTCATATACTTTGGCATCATGGAACGTAATCCCGTTAGCGGCATAAATCCTTTTTACGAATTATGTTTAATGGACTCGACCACCGGATTTCACATTGACTTTTTCCTGCTCTTGGACTACAAATATATCAAAATTGTAGTGTGGTATGGCGTGTATACGTACGAAATGAAATACAGATATTGTACGTTCATGTATTTTGTAGTGGGAATCATATCGTAACGCATTAATATACATAAATAACGACCCTTTCAATGTTCAAGTACTTTCATCTATATTTTAACGCAAGCAAAATTCACCAATAGAGCCAGAGTAATCCACTTATAGGAAAGACGCACAGATATTAGATGGCTATTCACATGTCTTTTTCTTTCTCTTTGTTATCGTCATCGGATTCCTGTTCATTTCTTCTTCTTTGTCTTGTTTGTGTAATGGAGATTCTGTAGTTTCAGAACCTCGATAGTTATATGTTTGAGTAAATGCACACACACATACACACACACACACACACGCACACACACACACACACATACACACACACACACACACACACACCACACACACACACACAACACACACACACACACCACACACACGCACGCACACACACACACACACACACGCACACACAACAACACACACACACATGCAAACAAACATACATATACATACACGCATGCACATACCGAGAAAGACAGAGAAAGAGTAAAAGAAAGAAAAAAATGGTTGAAATGATAGATAGATGGATAGAATTAGATAGAGAGATAAACTAATAGACAAACACAAAGACAAACAGACAATGAAAGATCTAGAGCCAGACACACACACACACACACACACACACACACACACACACACACACACACACACACACACACACACACACACACACACACACACACACACACACACACAAACACACACAAACACACACATACATTAAAAAAAAAAAAAAAAAAAAAAAAAAAAAAAAAAAATATATATATATATATATATATATATATATATATATATATATATATATATATATATATAATATATATATATATATATATATATATATATAGGTGTGTGTGTGTGTGCACCCACACAAACACCCATCCACCCATTCATCCACCTCCATCCACAGGCACGGATGCGAGGGCTACGTCTACAACGTAACGAAAGCAGGGGGTCAACCACACCCTGAGGAAATACCAATCTACACAGGGTAAGTTCGCTCCTTTGTGTCGCTCTTTCCTTTCCCTTTCACTCACTTTCTCTACCGGGTGTTGCTGTCAGGGAGGGAATGGGTGGCGTGTTCCCCTTCATGCGCTTCGGAGAGGGCGAGTGGGCGAGGTACGTGGGGGTGGGGAGGGGGGAGGGGTGCGGGTGTATGTGGGTGGTTTGTGGGTGTTTTTTTTCTGGGGGGAGGGGAGGGTAGCTGAGGTAAGTTGGGATCGTGGGTGGGTGTGTGGGTGTTTTTTTCGGGGGGGGGGGGGTGTATGTGGGTGGGTTTGTGGGTGTTTTTTTTTCGGGGGGGAAGGGAGGGTAGCTGAGTGCGTTGGGATCGTGGGTGGGTGTGTGGGGTGTTTTTTTTCGGGGGGGGGGGGGGGCGAGGGCGTGTATGTATGTGGGTGTACGAGGTGTACATGTGGGTGGGCGTGTGGGTTTTTTTTTCTGTGGGGGAGAGTAGTGTTTGGTGTTTATTTGTGATGGGTGGAGGGGTAGGGTATGTATGGTGTTTATGGTTGTGGATGGGGGTGGGGGGTTGTGTGTGTGTATATGTGTGTGTGTGTACTTGTGTGCGTGTATTCCTTTTTTTCATCTTTCCTTCAGCATTTCGTTCCGATCCCCACACGTCCCATATCCATCTAAATATTCATGTCCACCTACACATATCCATCATCATTTCCATTCGATCATCTATAGATAATATCACTCTCTGGCCTTCCCTTTCTACATGTCGTTTTATCTACCTTTCGACGCGACAATCCCTTGTTCCATGGCTCTATCTACTTTATTCCCTACAGAGTATAACATTATTTTTGTACATGAATCACTAATTCATAAAGGTACATGCTTTTCTTCTTTCTTATCCCTGCTTCATGTTCTTTTATTTTCTATTTTCTTATCTTTTATATTTTTGTTTTGCTCTTATTTTTCTTGTTCTCACTGTTATCTATCTGGTTCTTATCATTATCATATTGTTCTTTTAATCTTATTTGTTATCATGCTATCCTAATGATGTAATATATTTTCATTCTTGTTATTATTTTATTCTTATATTGTTACATAATTTCTTTTAGTTTCTTATATCATTTCTGTTCTTTTTTCTTATATTTCTTTCTTATTATCTTGAGTATCTAAGAAATCTTATCGATTTTTCCTCATTTTTCATTTCTAGTTTAATAAGTAAATATTTTTTTGATTTTCCTTATTTCTGTTTTCTAGTTCTATCCCCCTTCCTCGTTCTTCCGCATTGCTTATCTTCTTCATCTCCCCTTCCTCTTCTTCTTTTTTTTTTCTTCCTCCTGTTTTCTGTTGTGCCTTTCCTCCCTTCCAATTAACGGGACTTCCTTTAACCATTATCATCTTCGTTCCAGTGACTTTCTTGTAAGAAAAAGTGTCTTAAGCCTTTGCTGGATCCCTCTGAACGCTTCCTATTTTGTTTATTATGAGTAAATAGTCTGTTGGTATCATTGTTGTTTGTGTGTTTGTTTTCGTGGTTTTGTTTGTTTGTATCTTTATTCGTTTTCCTTTTAATTTTCTCTGTATTTGTGTGTTATCTAGTCTCTACACCCACTCTTCCCCCTACTCATGTCTTCTCTTTCTCCCTTTCCTCCCTTCTCCCTACTTCCCTTCTTTCCCCCCTCATCCTTTGTTTCATCCTTCTCCCAAACAGACAACAACACCAACTAACGTAAATGAACTTTGACCTTTTTTTCCCCTCAGGTCCCAGTGGTCAATCATGGGCCGTGACCTGACAGACTACGCCGTGACCCATGAGCGCCGTTCTGACCAGCTGAACCGATGGCACTATCACCTGCAGATGTCGATCATACCTGACGAGGCTTATTTCCCGACTGTCACCATGAATTCGCCATATGCGTGAGTGTTACATAGTGACATTTGTTTTATTTTTTCACTCTTTTCCTTTTTCTCGTATCATTATTATCATTACTATTTCAACTGTTATTATTTGTTTTTGTTTTCTTCACTCTTTTCTTTTTTTTTCTTGTCATTATTATCATATTTCAACTATTCTTATTGCTATTACTATTACCATCATCATCATCATTACTAGTATCATTATTATTATTGTTATTACGATTACTTTCCTCATCATTATCATCAACATCATCATTCTTACTGTTATTACAATTACTATCATCATCATCAATTATCCTTACTCTCATCACCATCACTACGTACACCCTTTTACGTCTTTATCTCCGCCTCCTTTCTCCTTTCTTCTTTAACCCTTTCAACTCTCCGACTTGCAAGGGCGTTTTGGATGCAGGTAATATTACTTCTGTTGACGGCTTAATGAGCGTCTTTCCTCCCTTGTGAGATAGAGATAGAGGTATGAGAGCAGGTAGATAGGTAGAGAAGAGGAGAGATAGAGGAAATAGGGAAAAAAAAGTTAGGGGATACGTGAAAGATAGACAGACAAATAGAGAGATAGAAAAAGAGAAGAGGAAAGATAGAGGAAATAGGAAAAAAAAAGTTAGGGGATATACATGAAAGATAGATAAACAGATAGATAGATAGATAAAGAGAAGAGGAAATATAGCGGAAATAGAAAAGAAGTTATAACAGCCGCTGTCCAGTTAGGGGATGGATAGATAGATAGAAAGACAGACAGGTAGATAGGAAAAGAGAAGAGAAAAGATAGAGGAAATAGAAAATAAGTTATAACAGCCGCTGTCCAGTTAAGGGATGCATGAAAGATAGATAGACAGAAGGACAGATAGATGGAAAAGGAGAAGAGGAAAGATAGCGGAAATAGAAAAGAAGTTATAACAGGCACTGCCCAATTTGGAGATACATGAAAGACAGATAGACAAATAGATAGATAGATAGAAAAGGAGAAGAAGAAAGACAGAGGAAATAGAAAAAAAGTTAAAACAGGAGCTGTCCAGATAGATAGACAGATAGACAGATAGACAGACAGACAGATAGATAGAAAAAGAGAAGAGGAAAGACAGAGGAAATAGAAAAGAAGTTAGAACAGGAGCTGCCAGTTAGGAGATAACAGGGATTAACGAGAAGACCTCTCATGGGCTGTGTCACTGGCTTTACACTTCGCATGGAAAGGGGAGGAGGGATCCGTCGGACAGTTTCTCTTCTCTCTGCTTCTTCCTCTTATTCTGTCTTTCCTTTGGTCTTTTTTTCTTTCTTCGTTTTCTCTTTTTTTGTCCCTTTCTTGGTTATGTATTGGTTTCCTTTCTTTTATGTGTATTATTTTCTTTTTCTTTCTATTTTTTTTGTTTGTTTTTTGGACTTTTTTATGCTCGGGTATTCATTTTTACTTTCTCTCTCTCTCTCTCTTTCTTCCTTGTTTGATTTCTTCTATCTAATTATCTTCCGTTTTCTGTCTCCTTTGCTTTCATATTTTTCTTCCCCTCCTAATTCCTTCTCTTACTCTCAGCTTCTTTCATCTTGTTAAAATTTTTCTTCTATCTCTTTCTTTTTTTCTCTTCCTCTTTCTCCTTTATTATCTTTCACCTTCTCCCTCATTCGCTTTACTTTATATTTTTCTTTCCTTCTCCCTCGCCGTCTTTCGTCCTCTGTCTCTCTTCGTTTCCTTCTCCCTTTTCCTATCTTCTTTACATTTTTCCTTCTTCTCTCTTCGTTTCCTTCTCTCTCTTTTTCTTCCTTGTCATTTTTTACATCGTGATTTAATTGCATAGATAAAACTCCTTTGCAATTAGATCACATATTGACCCTTACTGCTTCATGGAGGAAGAAGAGGATACGGATGAAAGGGGAAAATGCTTAAAGATGAGAAGAGAAGGAAGGGGAGAGAGAGAGAGAGAGAGAGAGAGAGAGAGAGAGAGAGAGAGAGAGAGAGAGAGAGAGAGAGAGAGAGACGTTTGTGTGTGTGTGTGTGTGTGGTGTGTGTGAGAGAGAGAGAGAGAGAGAGAGAGAGAGAGAGAGAGAGAGAGAGAGAGAGAGAGAGAGAGAGAGAGAGAGAGAGAGAGAGAGAGAGAGAAGAGAGAAGAGAGAGAGAATATGGAGAGAAATAGAGAAGATAGTAGGAAGAAATGATAATAATAATAATAATAATAATAATAAAGAAATGACGGATTAAATAAATACATGGGAAGGCTAAGGAAAGGAGATAAAAAAAAGAAAAAAAACCCCAATAAAGTGGATATAGAATGAAAGAATAACGAAAGTGAAAGTTAGACAATGTTAAAGGAGAGGAATGTCTTTTCATGCAAAATGAAATGAAAAAGAAAGGAACAGAAAAAGATACAAAGAAAGAGGTACAACCGAATGCCTTTGGAAAATATATCAGTAAGAAATATTAAGTAGAACGGAATAAGACAGAAAATTGAGAGAAAATAAATTAACTGCAGAAATTTAGGAGACAACGAGGGAAAGAGAAAACAATAATTCAACAGGGAGATAGCAACATTTTATAACGGATATCAAATTCAAATTATAGGATAAAGAGAGATAAGAAGATATCCGATGATAAAGGAAGAAGAGATTTTATGATAGGAAAATAAGTAATCTCAAACAATATAGAAAATGGTATCTCAGGAAGACAAAACAAATAGAATGACATATGGCTTAACTATTTACCTCCCCCCCAAAAAAAATCATAAAACTAATCTAAACTATCTAATTCATGAGTTAATATCATCAATTCATTGACTTAATTAACTCACGAATCGTTATTTCTTTATAAAGCTAAATTACTCATGAAGCGATGTTATTAATGGCATTCTATGAACTGCCATTGTTACTGTGTAATCTGTGTAATCAGTTGAATCATACAACAGTAAGCCTTTCACTCAGAGGCCAATATCACTGAATTACATAAACAAAACATTGCTATTCTCTAATTAAACCATTCTAATAATTAATTAGACCACGTTATTAATGATGTTGTCAGGGAGGGGCAGCCGGGAATCCACAGCCAGGATCCTTCACTAAAAGGTAAAAAAACGTTTCATTCTCCCGGGAAACGTTTATGTCATCTGCTAAGACAACAACTTTTCATTCTCTCGGATAAACGTTTATAAGTCATCTGCTAAGACAACGACAACGTTTCATTCTCCCGACAAACGTTTATAAGTCATCTTCTGAGACAACGACAACGTTTCATTCTCCCATAAAACGTTTATAAGTCATCTGCTGGGACTTGGCACGGATTCCCGGATGATTTGCAAACGTTGTCTAACCTTTTAAAGGAGATCTTTTTATCCTTTTATTGAAAGAGTTGTAATCTTCAACATTATTCAGATCACGGCGGCATATTTTGTCTTTGGTCCTTTGAAAGGCTGGATAATGTTCTAGAAAATCTTTCTCTTTTTTCTTCCGGGAAGTAAATGGAAAAATAATGAGAATTAAATTGTGGTTTAAATTGACCGATGAGTGGAACTGGGAGAGGAATAAAGGTAAAAAAAGGAAAGGAAAGAGGTGGATAGATAGATAGGTAGGTAGATAGAGAGCGAGAGCAAGAGACTGAGTGAGTGAGTGAGTGAGAAGAGAAAAAAGAAAGAGAGAAGAGAGAGAGAGAGAGAGAGAGAGAGAGAGAGAGAGAGAGAGAGAGAGAGAGAGAGAGAGAGAGAGAGAGAGAGAGATAGATAGATAGATAGATAGATAGATAGATAGAGAGAGAGAGAGAGAGAGAGAGAGAGAGAGAGAGAGCGAGGGGAGGGGGCAGGTAGATAAGTAGATAGACAACTAGAGAGAGAGAAGAGGAAGGGGGAAGGGTGAAGAGGGAAAGGGGATGAAGAAAGGAAAGAAGGGGAAGTGGAGAAGAGGAGAAAGAGAAAGATGAAGAAGGAAGGAGGAAGAGGATGGAATGGGGGCGGATATAGGTACTTGGAGGAACAGGAATACCCTCTCGTACTTCCTCAGAAGATTTTATAAAGGGAAGTGCTGTCGAGATTGAAATGAGTTCGCTCACGTTCACCCTCACGCACATACAGACAGAACACGCCACCATCCACACGCACACGCAAACACATGCACACATACATACTAAAACGGACACACACACACACACGCACACGCACCCAAACTTATACACACATACGGACTCAAACGGAAACACACACGTACACAAACACATGCACACATAGAGACTCAAATGAACACACGCACACGCAAACATACACAATGGGCCACACAAACAAACTCAAATAAACACACACACAGCACATGCACATGGAAGCACACACACCCGCACGGTTACATACACAGTCTATAAACATAAACATACATGTACATAAGCATCGATGATTTAATACACATATACACACTAAATATAGAGATACACGTGTACATACACCAATGTTGCATACACTATAACACTATAACATAGACATATATACATTATCTCCGCCAACTGAATAAATTACTCAACTTGTCAAGCCAAAACAGCCAATAAAACTTACACAAATTAACATAAGGATACAAATTAATTCCTAGCGATCGTCTATTAGTAGTTTCATTGGCATATGATTTGTACTGATGAAACACAAGGCGACTAATGGCATTATGACTCAAAATAACGCCCTCTGCTCTTAACCTTCTTGCAAAAACTCAATCATTTTACTTACTAACAGTCTCTAAAACTTGGGAAGAGAAAGTTTGAAATTAATGGTTTATCAGAAATTGTGGGATATTGGAAAAGGGAAAGGAAAGTATTGGTCAGAAAGAGAGAGAGAGAGAGAAATAAAAAGAAAGAAAGAAGTTAAGAAAAAAGACAAAAAACAGAAATGTCGAAGTCAGTGCTATTGAGTGTTCTAAACGGACGAGTTTCCAGGAAGGAAAGAACTAATATCTATATTTACGAATTAAGAATTACTGAGAATTACATGATAAACAAAGAAAATAATAAAAATACTAGCCATCTTTATCATCAT